GTCTTTGTCGGGGAAGGCCCTATCGGTCTCTGCCTGGCAGCCGGGGCCCTGGCGCGTTCTGAAGGACCATGAGAACTGAGCATGGCGGGGAGGGGGCAGCCTCCCCCCGCGGCTCCCCTCTTCGGGCCGCGGCGAGCCCGCGTCTCTGTGGTGGCTGGGTTTTTCCTGGCTTGTGCTTCCGTCACTTAAGAGGAAGTTTTCTGTGAAAACTTCTATCCACAGAATGCCCAGGTCCGTGCCAGCTTCGCTTCAGCTGGCAAAGGAGGTATTGAGTTTTTGAGTGCTGGGATGACTGTTGAAACATTTGACGCTGAACTCCTCCTTTTTGTCTTTCTAGGGAAAAGAAACAGCTGTGCATTCACTTTGAAAATCGATTTTTAATATAGCTAGAAATAATTTTAAACTGTTAAATTGTGACTGGTTCCCTAAAGGGTTTTAGGGTTTTCGGGTTTGATACTGCAGCAGAGTGGAATCTGAAATGTTTTTTATAGTTTATCTTCTGTTTACAAGTATGTGTGTTTTACTGTTGACTTTTTTTGTGATGATTGTAGGTATTTTTAAAATAAAATACTATAAATCTGACAATTCAACCATAGTGCACATAATGAATTATGCTATTTGGATTGTCACAGCTAGTCCTCTTTTTCATCTGGGGTTTGGGGGTTTTTTTTGCATTTTATTGTATTTCTTCAGCAACACGTGGATTTGTAAATAATCCTCTGTGCAGTGAAAAGGGTGGTCTGAAACCCTATTCGCTATTCTGTGGAATTCTTGTTAGGTGTTTTCTTGTTTGTTTTGATCCTTTGATTAATTAAGGTGTGGGTCTGTGTCTTCTGAAGAAAGTAATGTTCCTTAACAATAAATTAACATCAAGAACTTAAAAGGAAGCTGAATATTCTGACTCGTCCTAGGTATGTTAATGCTGACTTAAAACACTTTGTGTGACCTGTATATGTTTGAAATAGAGTTTGTCTGAGAGAATAGCTAGCTGAGCTTGTTTCTGTGTCCCCATCTCTGTTCAGATGTTGGACTTCTAAAATGCCATTATTGTTCTTGAAAAGTCTTTTAGATTTGAGTATCAAGAACTTAGTTTGTATTGCTGTAACTTTATTTATTTGTGTGTATCTATCTGTTTATGAAGCTTATGTGGCCTTTAGGAAAACAGTTTTTTGTAAAGTTCAGTAGTGAGAACAAGTACGTTAAAATGGTTGAATAAATAAGAGATCTTATTTATAAGATCTTATAAGAGTTTACTGCAGATAGAAGAAAACTTCTGTAGTGTGGTGTTCTGTTTTGTTTTCTTTCTACCTCATACCAGGCAACCTGCTTTGCTTAGAAGAGGATGATTTCTGCTTAAGTGAATAGGAAATTCTTAAAAGAACAGAACTTCTATTGGCCAAACCTTCCTCTCTCTGTGGACTACAGAGTCTTTGCTGTGATAAAACGGATAGAGAATGGTTACAGTAAAGCTAACACAGTAACCATTGTCTGTGTCTCTGTTCTATTCTTTTAGTGGAATTTCAGTGGACAACTCCAAATTTGATGGACCTCTGTTACAGATTTTATTTATGAACAATGTAATTTCTAAGTAAGTACTCCCCGAGAAAAGCAATCCTGACAGGAAATGGGACTTCTTTTTTGTTTGTTTGGATATGTTAGTGTTTGCCCAAAGGACGGATATGTGTTTTATTCAATAACATAAACTTGTTAAGCTTGAAGCGGAGAAAGGATAATGAGCAATATGACAGGAGGTCTGTTGCTTTCATTAGCAATGTCTGTTTTTATCGTGAAAGGAAGTGTGAATTCCAGGAACTTGGAGTGAGTCTGAATAGCAGTTTGAGTTTCATGAGTGTTGTAGGTAAATATAGTAAATTAAATTTTCCCTGCCGCTGAGTTGATTTTTTGCCACACTAATATAAGGGCACTATAATAGATTGCATTCATGTTGTTGGGGGTTGGGAGGAGGACAGGAGAAAAGTTGACTGCCCCTTTTCTAAGTTGTTAAGAAGTAGTAGATGGTAAATGTTTAAAAAAAAGATATCTGGCATATGTTTCAATCTTGCTCGTGTCTTCATCTCTGTATACTTCTTCACTCCATTACAGGCAGTATCATCAAGAAATTGAAGATTTTGTTTTTAATTTAGTTCAGAAATATGAAGAGCAGAAGAGAGGTGAACAAGAAAAAACACACTTCAATGTTAAGCCACAGGTACTTTAAAACTCAAATTGTTACTAGGTGTTCCTTCTCTTGCATCTTTGTAGTGGGAATATTGAAATACTATACTGCTAAATAGTTGAATTCTAGATGTTTTTTCCTGTTTAATTGCAAATCAAGTAACTATTAAACAAATGTTGTATAACTATTTGTTCTAATAATAGAGTAGCAGGACAAAGAAAATACCCTTTCTGCCTATGAAAATGCTTCTTTAAAACTGTTCCTAATGAAATTTGTGTAAAAGCAAAGTAATAAGTTGGTTTAAATAATCGAGAAAAGAGCTTAAGGTACAAACTTAACGTATCCTCTTCTGATTGTATTTGGCCCAACTTTTGAGTACGTGTAAAAGCATAGATGAACAATAGAATCTGGAAATTTCCACTTTCTTCTCTTAGTTTAGAATTTTGAGTTTTACTTAACATTCACTTTTTAGCATTCACTTTGAATAAAAGGGTGAAATGGCACATCTCTCTCCATCTTTGTCTTATATTTTGAGATAAGAATAAAGATGTTCTTATGTAGCATATTTCTCATCAATGAGCTGTGTCATACTTTGGACTGTGGAAAGCTTTATGACTAACGTAGACATCTCCATCCTACTGTTTAACTAATGTTTCATGAAAGAATAGAAGCTGTATTCCATGTTCTGTGCCTTTTACATACTTTAGGAATTTAGGAGCTTTTCTTTCTACTGTTATTTTAAATTAATTATTTGCATTTTTACTTTTCATGTCAGCCCTCCAGTGTTCTTTTGGAAGAGGACTGTAAAACAGCAAGCTCGAATTCTGTTAAAAAAATTAAAGAAGCTTTTAGTGTAAGTTTTTGGCTATATACTCTTCAATGGTAGGTCCGACTCTTCATTCTAAATATTCAATATACACTGCCATTAAAATAAGATCTTGTTAAATTTCATTTATCAGTGTAACAGCAGTTAAGTTCAGCATGTTTTGGCTACATCAGTGGAAAAAATACTTACTTGTACAGGTGTGGGCGTGTAGTATTTGTAAATTCTTACAGAGCGGGGGAAAAAAACCTGGAATTATTTCAAGCAGTGTAAATTTATAGAAATGCTACCAATCTAACCTAAATACTGACACATTTCTGACAATTTTCTGACTTTTTTTCTACAGGTTGTAGGAAGTGTTCTGTATTTTACCAATTTTTGTCTCGATAAACTGGGACAGCCTATATTAAATGAGAATCCACAGCTGACAGAAGGATGGGAAATACCTAAGTATCCTGTTTACTAAAACAAGGGTTTTTTTCCGTTTGTCAAATCCCAAGAATGCCAGTCGGTAAATTGAACTCAAATTCTGTTCAGTAGATTGTACATTTCTATCGAAACCTTATCAGTTGTTACAGATGAAAAGTTTTAATGAGTAATTAATGGCTTTTTTGCTCAAAACATAGAATTATTTTGATATGATTGGCTTGCTGATTTTTAGAAGATTTATGCTTGGGAAGAGTGAATGCCTTATCCCCATAAATACATCTTGTGGCTTTAGGAATTTCCTGGGCCAGTGTGCAATCAGGTTTGGAATGACAGCTCATTCCAGATACGAATAAGCGTTCTCCCTCTATAAAATCTGCTATTTGGGAAAAGAAAAGGGCTTGGCAAACTCAAATGTGCTCTAAGGTGATTTTTTCCAAATGTGGGAGCCAGAGGGAAAGTTTTTTAATAAAATTTAATTATGGAATGCTCTTAACTTGCATCCATTTTAAAGTTGGTTCTTTGCTGTTTATTAAAGCCAGTATTTGAAAGGTGGGATTGAGGGAAATGTTGGAAAAAGTGTTTTTTAGTTCTGTAGTCCTCCATGACAAAAAGAAATTGGGCAAGAAATTTCTCCATTCTTCTCGAGTAATGTCATCTCCCCAGTTTTCCAGTATTGCTTCTGCCCCAGAAAGAGTCAGGACAAGAATCAGTTTCACAGTTCATTTCTGCAATATCTAGTTACCAAGCTTGTAATAACGGTCATTTCCTAGTGTTAAAAAATTACTTGTATCTGAATGAAAATTGCAAATTTATAAGCCGGCTAACCTGGGTTTTCTTGTGCCTGCCTTTGACTGTGTATGCACTGTGCTGTAATTTTGGAACATTTGGAAAGCTGTCTCTGTTATAGTGCATTAAGTTAATCCTGTTCTCCAAATGATACTGTACTATCTCCCAACCTCCAGATGAAGGAAGTAGGAGAAATTCCCCTGTTAGGCATCTAAAATGCAAAGTTAAGTGTGGCTAAACTTTCAGGTCTGCCAGCTTAGCTTTGATACTATTCTTTAGATGTACTTACTGCATCTTTCTTTAGAGCTCCCACAGATGACATTAAGCCTAAAATAGCACTTACTTCTGAGTGAAATGATGTATCGGGCACCGTGCTTCTAAATGACCGAAATACTGCACTCAATTAACACGTCAGTTCTACTAGTATCTGGCATCTGCTTTTCTTTTTAAAAGCAACTGTTAGATTCTGGAAACTACTGTGCTTCTGAACTCTACTGAACCTCTTAGTTTTTACCATGCCGGTTCGCTTGCGGCCCTCTTGTCTTCTCATACATTTTTAGACAAATGGGCAGAGCAGCTGACACGTTGCAGTCCAAAAGCAAACACAAGTAGTACGATATGACCTGTCTCCACCTGCTTGAGAGGTGGGTTATATTTTTGAAACTCTTACCAAAATATGTTATTAATAAGATTGCTGTGAAGCATATCAGAATTACTAGCTTGAAACTTCTGCCTATAAACAAGAGGTTTGTAGTTTTAGCAAGTGCTGATAAAGAACAAAATTGGTTATTGGATAGAAATTGGGTAGGAGGAAACAACGTAAGCCTGTCTTGGCAAATAGTTTATACTAGATATAGTTTTATAGTTTATACTATAGACGTCATATCAAGGACCCATCTGTAACTTAATCCAGAAGAGTCAGTATTCTATTCAAAGCACTATTAGGCTTTCACTGATATTTTAAACAAGATTGAAATTTTGCTTCATCCAGTAGCAGTTCCTTATTGAAATCTAAAGATATCAGCAAGTTTTCAGCCAGATTCTCTCCCTAGATGGACAAGAAATACAAGTAAAACCAAAAAGGTTTGTATTATTCTTAAATATAAAGTTTTGAGCTGAAAAGTTCAGATGTACACTGTGATTATTCCCCAGTATACTAAACCCTTGAACATACTTGAGCAATGAGTTTAAATTAAGTTAACCAGTGCTGAGCTTTGCAGTCAGTGGGTCTCTCTTGTTTACTGACTTGCTTTAGGAAGGACCTAAAATCAATGTGTAAAAACTTTCTGAAGTTTATGCTTAGTTCTTCTGTTGCTTGCCTTTTTAGTGATTGCTTTGTCGTCCTTGCACTGGTGTACTATCATTCTTCCTGTTTTGTAGAACAACCCATGTCTGACTTACTTTATAGGCTTTTAAGACAGACTGATCTTAGAGTTGATCGTATAGCTTTTATGGGAGGTAAGAAGTAAAGCGAATTGAGTTTCCAGCTGACAGCTTATGTGGTCTTCATAGCATCTGAAGTCACTGATTCCAGATGCAATGAAGACCAGGCAAGCTTTTAGTGGGAATTTCAAAGATGAAGAGGCATGCCGAGTTAAACTCTGGTTTGATTAGAAATACTACCATTTGAATGGAAAGCAGATTGAAGGGTTGTGCTCATGATACGGGATGGTGATAAAATACTTGGATCACCGCAAAAGGTTTCTGTTTGAATACTAGGTAAAGATGAAGCAGAAGACGCGCTTCACTTTACCTAATTAGAGGCTTCAAGAGGTTGGAGTGTGTGCGTGTGTGGGGTTTACCCTAGACACTCATCCTTGTGTCACCCTTTTGTCTCCACTTCTGGTTCCCATCTCAATTTGGTAAAAATGAATGTTCAGAAAAGAAATCTTTCTCTAAAATCTTGTGAAAGATTGGGATTTCCCCCTCTATGATGTTGAAAATGTTTGCTGCCATGGTATGAATTTACAAGGAAAATTAAGCTTGAAGCCAGATGCAGTTCCATTCAAGGTTTTCAGTGCACAATTTTACAATGCATAACTTGTTCAAACTATGGACCAGGACTTTACAAAGAAGTAGTCATTCTCTCCTACTTGTTTCTATTGGTAGCTGATTCTCAGTATTGTAAAAAGGATCAGACCTCTGATGGTACAAGCATAAAAAGAGAAATAGAGGTATTAATGTACTACAGGCATATTAAATTGAGGGGTTCCTTATCTGTACTCCAGAGTTAAAAGTACTGTTTTAACATCTTCGCTTTCCTTCCTCTGGACATAGCATAAGCTTTAGTATGTAGGTTTTGTTTTCATTTATTGGCACTATCTAAGCAGGTGTTTACATATTTAATTGGAAGCAGAAATCCTTCAGTGAATGCTCTTCTATCTGCAGTGTGATATAAGGAAAAGCTTTTCCACCTTTAGGACAGTAAACTATTGGATCAGGTTGCCTAGAGAGGTTATGCAGTCTCCATCCTGAGAGATTTTTCAAGACCCAACTGGATAAAGCCCTGAGCAACCTGGTCTGATCTCAAAGCTGACCCAGCTTTGATTAACGGACTGGGTTAGAGATCTCCTAAGATCCAGCCTGAATTATTCTATGGCTGTTCTATTCCCTCTTAAAGTAATAGATCTCTATTATACGGGATATAAAAGTTCCATTTCTGCCTGGCAGTACTACTTTTCTACTGTAATTTTAGTTCTCCTCTTTCTTTCCTCTCCACATGCTGTCATGTATTTCCCCACCCCACCCCAATGCTGTGCCTGTGTTTTTCTCATTTCTTGTGTTCTCCTTAGGACTGTGAAATAATATTCTGTTACTCTATTGATATTAAGCAGTCAATTTAAGAGAAGCAGAAGACAGCATATGAAATCAGCAAGCAATGCTTACATTTTTTTTCTTTCTAAATCTAAAACTAAAAATCTGACAAGATTTAAAATAATTAAGTGCATTTAACATTGCAAAATTATTTTCGGGCTTAATTTCTTGTGCATTTTTTAAGCAGGCCAAAACCGCATTGTTTCAATTGTGGTTCTGAAGATCATCAAATGAAAGACTGTCCAAAGGTAAAGTCTACATCAGTATTCAAAAGACTGCTGCTCTCCAAGAAATGTTTCAGTGTAACTGCACCATTTAAAAAAAAAAAAAAAGTAGATGCATTGGGGTCAGGATGTACAAATGATTATTCATCTCTGTGATGAGATTATACTGTTCATACTTACAAATTCTAACATACTAAATCAGAACATAAATTAATTCTGTAGCATAATGTTTTGAATCTCTCCTTTAATTTATGGAGGGACATTCAGTTTGAACAGTATTTCTTCCTGTTTTAGAGCTCTGCTAGATCCAATACAAATACTCTTGGTTTTTTGCTATGTAGTTTTCATTACAACTGTAGTTGTATCACACGGCCATGTGATAAACAATTAAGCATGCTGAGGGCAAGGATTACCATTTTTATGTTGGGTGACGGAGTGCATAAATTGTAAATTGTCCAAATCTAAACTTCCCAATTGTATTGTCTTTAAGCCACGAAATGCAGCTCGTATAAGTGAGAAGAGAAAGGAGTTTATGGAAGCTTGTGGTGAAGCAAGCAATCAGAATTTTCAGCAGCGTTATCACGCAGAAGAAGTAGAAGAGAGGTTTGGAAAATTTAAACCAGGAGTAATTAGGTATCTCTTTTCCTTCCATTAGCTGTTGCACTGCTTTTCTGGAATACCTGTTCTACCTTTGGAGTGCCAGATGTTACTTTCCAGAGATCTATAAGTCCATACGCTACTCTTAACTATATTTGAATTTGTTTGCTAAATAAAATTTTGTTTAATAAATTGCACAGATATTTTTCAAATGACAACTCATTGCTAGCTTAATAGTCCTACCCTTTCCCATGGCACTTGCCTCCCTAATGTAGGGAGACAAATTTTACTCTTTGGCTACTCAAATTGGAGATATATTATGTTCCTAATAAACTAAAAATGCATGCAAGGTTCTGAAAATTTTGAGCTTGGAGTGTTCCTTCCTCTCTTTTTCTCTCTATTCAAAATGTTTTAAAAAATCATAATATGGTTGTAGCAGTTTCCAAAGAAATCATCAACACTAAATTTAGTGTTGCATTAAGTTCCATCCTTCCTGTTGTGATAGCTACAGTTAAGGCCATGAATCAGAAGTAACAAGTCGAGTAAGTTGTTCTCAGCGTGGAATTAATTCTTATAAAATGTTTAAGCATACGTACACTTGTATGGAGTAATGAAAGTGTTAAAAGTTACTTTTAACATCAGAGCTGATTTTGCCCTAAAATTGTTATATCTGGAATTGACAGACAACATAGTTTGAGCTAAAACTAAGTTATTTTAACTTGATAGTTTAAAATTCAACAAAATGTTCATAACTTTCTTTTGTCAAAGCTCAATTATGGATTTTACTGGACGACTTTTTGTTTTCTCTTTGTTTTCTTTACTTAGTGGGGAACTTCAAGATGCACTTGGTGTTACAGATAAGAGTCTTCCTCCATTTATATATCGCATGCGTCAGCTGGGTTATCCTCCAGGTTGGCTCAAGGAGGCTGAAATGGAACACTCAGGACTTGCGCTTTATGACGGAAAAGGTAAGGAATGTGCTGCAGGCATGCAGTTTTCAGTATGCAGGCTATTTACTGGCTGCACCCTATTCAGGAGACAGTAAAGTACCTAGTTTGTAAACCTTCATGTTCTTCATGGGAGAGTGAGAAAGTTGTAAATCAAGTTTTCTTTTCTAAAGTCATGTAAAAATACGCCTCTTTCATCTAGCTATGATGTGACAATGAAACAACTTCTATAATGATTTGATTGCATAGATGAAGACTCTGTCAGTGTGATTTCACTCTAATCAACCCTTGATATTAGAACATGGAGTTTCTGTGAAACTGTGCAAGACTTGCAAATAGCCTATTGTCAAATTTCCTCTTTCTTTTTTTAATAAGCTCCTCTTATGTTTTGTGAAAGGAACCATAATACTTTCTGAAGTTCAATAACTTACTCTTATATAATAAAGAGTAAGAAGACCACCAGCAAGCAAAGAATACATTTCTTGAAACCCAACTTATCAGTTAATTTACCAGCTTTTTGCTAATGACCGACATTTATGCTGCGTCTCGGAGAACCGTCCTGATGCCAAATTCTGAGGCTAGTAATGGTACATAAAGAGTGCTATTATTGTGAATACCCAGTTAGGTTTCTGGGGAAGCTTCATGCTTGTATCTGATAGATTTGGTCACTGTTATTGCCTTTGGATTACAAAGCCTTCTATCAATACTTACATTCCAAAAACCAAAACCCTGTTCTTAAATCCGGTGGATTTTTTCAGTAATGTTCTTAATTAGCATCAAGAATAATTATATTTTGTTACAGATGATGGTGGAACAGAAGATGAAGGATCTCGTCAACCAAAACACATCACTTACGATGTCTCTAAGTTGATAAACTATCCAGGCTTTAATATATCCACTCCAAGTGGCATCCCAGATGTAAGTGGCTGTCCTCTGCCTTCTAAACAACATGCTGAGTAACATTAATTGCTTTTAGCCAAGTTTAATGTTTTGTATTCTGCATATGACAATTTTCTTTCAACAAGCTCTTATTTTTAAGCACGTGGTTTGGGGTTGGGAGCTGTTGAGGTAATCTATCTGGTATCTGTCACAGCTGTTGTGAGTAAGGTCTGACAGTGCTTCTGTGGTGATTATTTCCATTATGAGACCAACAGGAGCCTAGAAGGGTAGTTCCTTTTTTTTTTTTTTTTTTTTGACACAAAACTTCACACACACACACACGCCTGTTCCTTCCATACATCTAAATTTTCTGAATGTTCTTGGAATATGAAAACTACCATGGGTGTTATCATAAATATAATTTCAACTATAGAAAACTACATCAGACCAGTGCACAATCTCTGGGAAGCTTTGTAACAGCTAAACAAAACGGGTCGTATCCGAAGACCCACATAGTGGGTGCCCTCTTAAGCACTGAGCGCACAAGGAATCTCCTGTGGCTGCTGCTGCTGAACTTTTATTTTCAAAAGCATTTTAACCTGCTGTTGGTAGCGAACTTCATCACTGATGTTAATGCATGTGCATTAAAAAGAAGCACTTGTACATTCTCTTTTGCAGCTTTACATTTGCCTGTTTAGTGGCCTCCAAATATGTTTTTTCATTCAGTATTCTTAACCAAAGTTCTGTCCTCAAGTTTTTTTCAGTTTTCACTAAAAATGAACAGTTTTTCAAAGTAAGCCTTTTTCATCTGAACAGTTATTTCAAGGGGAGGTTTGTAGTTGTGTTACAAATGTTGAAGAGTATTTGCTATGAAATGGTTAACAAGACATTTTGTAAAGGTGATGATTTTTTTTTTTTTTAATTATTATTCCTACTACCCAGTCATAGTGCATTGCATCAGTTGTTTGTGTTCACAGGTGAGAGTACTTCGGTCTTCCAGAAGTTCCTACTAAAGATCTATTTACTCTGATAAATGCGGCTTTTGATAAGAACTTGAATTCATCTTGGCTTGTTAATCTCTCAGTGTTTCTCTTAAGTTTTACTGTTGTGTTATTAGCCAACCATATGCAATGTTATTTCTCTTTTTTTTTTTTTTCCTGTAGGAATGGCAGATATTTGGTTCCATCCCCATGCAGCCATCTCAACAGAAGGATGTTTTTGCTAACTACCTTTCTAATTTTCATGCGGTGAATATATCTCATTGTTATTTGCAAAAAAAAAAAAAAAGTTGTCTTGAAGTTAGTGTAGTCAGTGATGATCTCTTGTTTATATCTTCTTTTTTGCACAAGGGCATAGAATTTCTTACTGACACTACCAGATGTGAAATGCTGATGCTTGGCTTTATCTGTTCTAAGAAAAAGGAGCTTCATGTTTAGAACAAATTCCATTATTTCAATTAATATAAGCAGATCCCAATTGTGCAATATTTGCTAAACAGTTGTGAAAAAGGTTACTATAAACTTTTACATCCTAAAAACTGTCTTAGTTCCAGACTTCCCAAATAAGTGAAAAGCTTACTTGCCATAGTCATGATTTACAGTAATGTTATTATAGTGACTTGAGAAAACATATGGTAGTCCTGTCCTGTATCATTCTCAGGTCTTCTCTAATGTGACTCTAGCCTAGTGTTATCTACTGCAGAATACTTCCAGTTAAGGATGGAAGATGTATGCTCTGCTCTCAGTCCCAAAGTGTAATGCTATATGGAATTAAACAGTAAATTCTTAGCCTGCCAGGAAGGGATGTGCAATACTTGCGTTGTGATGGTCTCATAAGATCTAGGTGTCCAGGTGGAAACTTGGTCGTAATCCTGTGTTAGGAATGCAGACAGTCTTGTCTTTTGCCACTTAAACCTGAACAAGACTACAGTTCTGTTCAGTTGCATTAAATCTCTCAAACTTCAATGTCTAGTTTACACACTGGATCACCAAATGATTGTATAGTTATGAAATTGCTTTAAATATGTTCTTATAGCTGGAAATGTTACCTTGTACAATTTAATATTAATTTCTTCTGTTTTCCTGGATAATTTCTCTTCAGCCAAGTCCAAAATCTAGCAATAAAAGGGCTGCATCTCAGTCAAGCTCTCATCATTCAAAACGACCAAAAGAAGACAATTTGGAGGTACCAACAGCTGACATGGACCTAGATTCTGGTATAGTTATTCTGCAATTTTTTTCCCTAGTTTCAATTTTTATTTTCAAAATAACTTGCTCTGAATTGAAATGTCAGTGTTCATAAAGAGAAACCAATGTGTTAGTATTCGTTATGGTGGTAATTAATGTAACTGCTAACATATGCTAGCAGTGTCCTACTATAGTTGCATTTGGGCCTCTCTACAATAAGCATTCTCGGTTGCTGTTATTGTCATATCTTCCAATACCAAGCAGGAGATTTCAAGTATGCTCAGAGCGATTGGAATGTTAGGTTACAAATTCCAATCTCTTTACTTCAGGTGTATCCTGAAGAAACTTCTATTACAAAGACCTTCAAATCCTTAAATATTTGGGTGAAATAATGTAGGAAGTTACAAGCTCACAACTTCTTAAAAATGAGTCAAACTCACAGGAGGACTTAGAGTGTTGTTTAAATGTTAGAATAGCTGGAGAAACTTCTGGCTTTCGTTTTGCATTTCCTGTGAGGAAATCCTTCAGTGTGTCTCAGTGTGGAATAAGTTTGTTCTCGGTACACTCAAGAGCATTGTAGCTTTTTTTTTCCCCTTGAATGGCTAGCAGAGTTAAAATCCCCAAAAACATAGTTTCAGTGGATATTAAAACCTTCAGAAAGTTTGTTCTATCTCAGCTGAAAACCAAGCATGAGAAAACATAAGTCTGCTAGTTATCAGAGCATTGGCACTTTGAATCTTGTCCTAGTCAGATTTCAGATTCTAACAGATGTCTTGCAATGTTTCTAGATCTGGAAGTGTCACAAAGATCTCAAACTCATAACAGTTTTCAGTTCCAACCTCCGCTGCCACCCGGACGTCCATCGATGCCAACTCCTCCTCCTTTACCACGAGGAACACCTCCACTAAATCTTACACCAACTCAACCTTCAACACCCACCCGCCCTCCTCTTCCTAGGACTACTGCACCGTTGAATCCTTCCGGTGATATTCCTCAGCCAAAAATAGTGGACTCAATCATGGATGAGGATACTCTGACCTTGGAAGAGCTAGAGGAACAGCAGCGATTAATCTGGGCAGCACTAGAGCAGGCAGAAAGCACAAACAGTGACTCTGATATTCCTGTTGATACACCTTTAACTGGAAATTCTGTTACATCATCACCATCTAGGAACGAAGTAGATCTTGTTGCAGAAGTAAGATCATCTGATAAGGTGATTACAGTGGAAACTAGGTTTTCCAACATCAGTGAACAGATACCAGAAAATGAACATTCTATAACTAGTCTTAATGCAGGAGATAGTTTACTTAACTTAAAGGAAAATCCTGATAATACAGATTCTGAAGGCTTGCTGGATAACACCCTGCCTGCTCCCAGTCGTGACGTTAATGATGGAGAAAATACAAGTGGTAATAAAGTGGTCACAAGCATTGAATCATCTGCAAAAAACTCCAGTCTTGTTCCTGATATGAGCAAGTTTGCTGCAGGCATAACACCATTTGAATTTGAAAATATGGCAGAATCAACAGGTGTTTATCTACGAATAAGAAGCGTGTTAAAAAATTCCCCAAGAAACCAGCAAAAGAAAAAGACTTCATCTTAATTGGTCTTCCTTTGTTTCGTTATGTCCAAATCCCTGCTTCCTTCTCTCTCCTTCTCCAATTTTACAGACTCGGATAGCCTTCCTCATCCTTTTGTGGGAAGGAGAAAGTCTTGACAAATACAGCTCTGCCCCATTCTTCCTTGGGACTGAAGTCAGTGCAGGGCTTCCGTATTGACCAGGACTACCAATACGGCCGGAAAATATAGAAGAATTTTCCCAAATTGTGTCCTTCCACTAAGGAATAACAGGACTGTTGATTTATTAAGAGCAATTTACTTGCCAATACATGAAACTCTAAAAAGAGGAGTTTGTGGTTTGTTGTTCATTACTTTGGCTAAGGTTTATATTGTTCTTGAGTTTCAGGTGAATTGTTGATTTTTTTAATATCTGTCCTTTGTACAATAATCTGTACTTTATACCTTTTGCTAATTATCCTGTAGATAAGTTTAATATATTCAGAATGTTTTTAAAAAGGTCTAACATTAAGATTTCCCACATCAAAATCCTGGCAATTGGATGAAAATAATCAGGGATTTACCGGCATTATCTTCACCATTTCAGATATTTTTATAAATTATTTATGTGGGTCAGTTTTAATTACCACTGTATCTTTTGTAACATCATCCTTCATGTAAACTTGCTGTACATACATGTTCATTGTTGTGTACAGAGGTTTAATAAATGCGCTTTTATATAAAGATTTTTTAATTTGAGTCCTAAACCATGAAACTGCTGATTTTTGAAAATTAGCTGCTGAAGATAATTAGAAAAACAAGCTGATTAAAATGAGGATGAATAAAGTTAAATATTTTAGGAAGGGTCACAACTATTGGGTTCAGGTTTTCATAATCAAGAACCTGTTTAAATCTTTTTAGCTACTTAAATAGAACCTTGCCATACCATTCAATTTTCATAATCTGAAGAATTGCCCACTTCTGAAAGCTTACAAGTGTTATAATTTTGCTAATTAATTGTTCTAACACTTTTTTTCCCTTCTTTTAATTGTCTTCAGAGGGACCTGTAGGTGAAATGACTGTACATTATTTGCATTGCCAACAGAGGGAGTACTAGATTGACTTAAGAGTATTTATTGGAGCTGGTAAAGCATTTGTTTGTCCTTATATAAATGCAGGAAAAAAGTCTTCCTAGCCAAGTGAGGTGCGTAGTAAAACGAAGTATTTTCAAGTATCTAAGAAAAGACTTGTGAAGGGGGGATGTTTAAAGGTGTTTTTGATAATATAACTTCAGAGACTGAACTTATTCTTTAAAATTCTTGGCTTTGCAGATGGTATGTATTTCCCAAAGATCCTTATAATATATGATATTAGTACACCCTGCATTTGAATGCTTAAGAGAACCCCAGGCTTTTTGTAGTTAAAGCTTTTATATTTATTTCCTTTTTTTTCTCTAAACTTTACAGGAAGGGAAAACCAAAGTGTCTTTATATATGAACTGCTTGTCTTCCGAGAGGCTGAAAAAAATTTCTGCAGCATACACCAGTTCTGTTTATCTGGTTGCATTTGGAAAGCAGTGGTCAAGGTAAATGTTCCTTATATGTGCTAAAATGAAAGGCTGCTTTGTTTTTGTTGTCTTTTATAGGAGAAATAGTATTACTTTCTGTAACAGGAATGGATAATGGAACAGTATTTAGCTTCCAGCTTCTACACACTTTACAGAGAAATCTCTATTGGGAAGCATATAGAGATCTTGTACTTTCTCCATGCCTCCTCCTCTCATGGAGTTAAAAGCTAGTAATGACAGTTTACGCAAGCTATTATGTGCTGTGTGCTGCATCATTTACATGTGGATGACAGTGTGATGCAGGGCATGAGGTAATGATTTCAAGTGTACACACCTTTTGGGTGTGTTGAGGTGCTCATATTTTAAACATGCAGCTCTCTCTCCACACCTTAGAAGATCTTTTTTTAATAGCTCTTATGAAATACTGCTTCTTTAATAGGACATGCAGCCTAAACTTTACAGGAGTACTTGTGTACTTCTGTCTTGTTTACAGAAACCGCAAGATAAAAATCATCTTTATATGCTTAGTACCCTTTAGCGCTCTGTGTTCACAATTAATTCATAATAAATCACCCTTCCACCTAATTGATCAGAATAGGTAAGTCTTCAATGCTTGTACAAATTCCCAGACTTATCACTAAAGTAGCTGTTAACTTTATTGCTTCCAAGATTTGTACAGAAGGTATTAGAGTAAGGGTCAAGTGAATTCATTTCAGCAATACGGTTTTTAATGTAATGGTAAATTCTAGTTTAAATATGTTAAATCCTTAATTTTATAAGGCTTTGAATTTTGAATTGTTCAGCATTTTTATTACTTTGGCCACTCTTGTATTCACTGCACACAAACTACTTGGAGATACAGATCTTTTTCATTTTTGGAAGATGATGTCTTCTGTTATCTAAAGCAAATATTACTTGCGGGGGGGCTCAGGGCAGGAATGGACTGTGTTTGGGTCCACATTTTATATCCACTGGAATTTTTGTCCGAAGTGGCTGGACTGTAGTTCAAGTCAGCAAACGTTTTTGTCCTTCACCTGTAGTCTGCTACAATTGGAAGCACGCGGCCCATGCTGTCACACTTGCATACATGCTTGAATTAAAATCCCCACAACTGGGATTGTTCCCATTTAACAGTCTTGTTTTTTAACATAACAGAAGACTCTAGGCTTTTATAAATACTGAGCTTTCGTGTGCTCAGAATTATTTTTTTATATTGCTTTTATGCTGCTTTTGCAAAACTGTTCGCATGTTTAGACTTGCTCCTTTTAGTCTTGGTATTATCCCTGTCTTTAATATGTTTTGGGGGGTAAGTCAAGTATCACTTGATACCAGTGCTCATTCTTACTTGTATTTAGCTCTGCTGTAAGACATACAGTTCATTAGGGGTGGGGAGTTATCCCTGCTTTTTCTCTCATGATTAGGAATGAATTCATTGATCTCTTAGCTATTTATCTATACTTCACTTTTCCTATCAAGTGCTATATATTGTTGCTGTACTGAAGATGCTTGTAATTATTGAATTTCTTGAATCTTTCAGGTGTAACTACTCATATGGTTTTTGTATATTGAAACTGCAATCAGATCACACTACAAGGTCTGAGAAAAAGCTGAATAGCAAAGTATTTCTGGTACTTTTAAGTCACATTCCCATGGTGATGGGTGTGGCATAATAACCTAGATTAGAGCTTACTAAAATGTATGAGTAATAAAATCTGTAATAAGGTGGGTATAGTGTGAGCAGGCATCACTCAAATTTTCCCACAGATTCCTGTTGGCATAGTACTCATGTTTGTTGGCAGCATTTGGAACAGCAAAAGTATTTAAAAATGCATATGCACATCTAAAAATACCTAATCTGTGGAAAATATTCAGGCTATCAGTCAGGTGGCTAGTTGTCTCTTAAAAAGATTTGAATTTCTAACTTATATTTTTATAACCTAATTCACAGTGCTTAAAACGTAATGAAAAGAGAAATAGCTGAGATTCTAGAAGATATCCAAAACATGTGTTAGCCTCTAAGAATTATTATTTTTACTGCAAACTCTGTAAGGCAGGATCGCTGGGGTGGGAGGGAGTGGAGAGCGAAGAGGAGGAAAAAGCTCAAATATAATTAGTGTGTTTCAAATGCATTGGTAGTTGCCATGGAACTCCGTAGTACCTTCATTTGTAACGTGGCTGTATTGCCTCTGGTAAGTAAATGCCAGTGAAGATTGATGCTGTTCCTAAGAATACGTTGTAGAGTCATACTTATATTTGGGGGGGGAGGGGATGAGTCAGAGGTAGGAATTGGTCTCGATCCTTGGAGAAGCATACAAACAGGATGGATTTAATAACATGGTAATTAATGTGTGACAGTTGGACACTTCCTAAACTTTAGTTAACTACAAGCAACAAAGATTTGACGTAAGATTTTTTGCAACGGGTATTTAGCTGTCATCCAATGACTGAATAAAAATTTGTTTACCCTTTTTTTAGATCTCGGCACTCTCAATAACAAGAACAAAAAACCTGCTTTGCTTCTCTGTAGGTGAGAATTCAGCTTTTGTTGGTATTTACATCAGTGGTAGAATGATTTGCATAGTCCATCCTTTTTAGTAGACTACGGTTTCTCAGTTATCTGTGAAATGAAACACTCATAATCAAGATGAACATTATTGTTAAATTAAATACCTTGTTTAAACAAACATGCAGAAAGGATTCTTCAAATAGTGTCTGTTTAAATACTGTTGGGTAGAACAAATAATATAAAATTGGATGAAAGTTTGTCTTGTGTAGCACACCAGCAAAGAACACGGACTTGCAGAGCTGTTTTGTACTGCTGCTGGGTACTATGGCTGATCTAGGGAAGGAAACAGTGAGTACATTAAGAATGGAAAGACTTCTTACAGCCGTTCAATCCACTAAGCTGTGACAGTAACTACCAAGGCGGCAGTATTTTTTTTGCAAGTGTTGCATACATGATAAAGCTAAAAAGGGCAGTTTTTCATCTAGTGTAACCTATCAGTCAAAGGCTGCCGGTTTTAGTGACATAAATTTAAAGCCAAAAATAATAAGAGTAAACATGAGGCTTCAGGACACTAAATCTCTTTAGGATCAGTATAGCTATAAAAATAGATGAGCAAAATGTACCACTCGGGTTAAAAGGGGAGGGGGGAATCCTGTTGTGTTTTTGCAAAACCAGAAACAACTACAGAAAATAATAGTGCAAGTTTCTGTGCTGGGATTTTTGAAGCAGCACTTCTGTGATTTAAAAAAAAAAAAAGGCAATTAGTTGCTTTTTCTGAAGCAGGTGTGACCATCAGTTCTGTATAGGAATTGCCAAATAAACGTACTGAAAAGATCACTCCAAGGAAAAAAAATCTTATACTCAAAATCTTCATACTTGTGTGGATATGTCCCTTTGAATATAAAAATGGATCTCCTAAGTCAGGATATCCTTAAAGGCAGTTCTTAAAGAACAACATTTTAGCTATTCTGAAAGCTTCAATAGTTTTGGACCCTTCACAAATCTGAAAAAGGGCAGAAACAATTTCAACTGGTGTTCCCACATTATTGAAGAGAACAATTTTAATTCTAAAGTAGGCCTTATACTTGTGGCCAGTAGTTATGTCATCATCCTGAATGTCCCTGGAACATCCAGCAATTCCTGTTTTTGTAGAGTTATGAAAATGTCTGTATATTATATGTTGACTGATCTGATCATGCCGTTCAGAAAAGAGAGCCACTAGTACTGGAATCAAAGATATTCTGGCTTTTAATCATATTTAGTCCTTTATAGTACCGTGACTTATAGTACCAGCATCTTTTTTTTTTTATAATGATTGCTGCAAATTGGATGTGAACATACTAGATGTTATTATTATCACAGTCTGCATATATCTCCATCTCGGTGTAGACTGGAACACAGAAGCTAAGTCAACCATTTCTAATTGGGATGAACTTAAGTTACACTTGCTCTAAAGCTACTTTTTCATGGTTTGAAAGTTGATACTGATTGAATGATGGATAACTAACTCTGTTTCCTACAAGATTACTTTGATCTTGAAGCTATGATTCTGTTCACTAGGAAATTGCATGAAAAACCAGTGGCACATTCACTTTATAGGTAGAAGCTTTTGATCTATGAGACATCATACTCAATTCTTGCTTTAGTAACAGGACATTTTTAGCTTAGCCTTG